GAGCTATCGAAAAAGAGCTTCAAGGGGTCCAGTTATGAACCGGACTGAATAGTATTGAACACCCACTAACGCCACGTTTCCATGCTCATGCATGTACATGTGTGTACTAGAGTGTTGTGTTTATAGCCGCAGTGGAATTTCAGTTAGTCCCTCGAGGCACGATGGAGATAATACAATTCCGGGTCTCGACGGTGACGCGTATCCACTCTATTGGAGTCCGTGTGTGTGGCATAAAATAAGTATATCCGTATTCCTAATGCTCAAATCCACTCTCGCCCGTGTCTGTCGATGATCCTTTGTTTCGGACTAAAATCCCGGGGTTTGCTGTTATTCATGTAAATATGTGGACATGTGGAGCTGTGAACGCGCAGTCGAGCTCATTTAGTCCACGGGTCATTTACACGAGAAATTTTTCCATGCTGGAGATAACGCGGAAATGGAAAGAAGAAGATAAGAAAAAACTTACGTGCACGGTTGAGCTTAAAATTGAAAAAGAGAGCACAAAGAACATTGAATTTTTCACGAATATTATAAGGTATCTCAATCTTGCTAGTAATTTTATAGCTAGTAATTTTATTAAAAGGAATTTTGTTTAATTAATACTGGATGTACCACTTAATTTTCATGCTGATGAAATATCACATTACCGTAAAATACAATTTTTATTAAACCTTTTTTATTAATTTTAATTAGAGAATTAAGAATTATTTGTAGAGCTCTCTGGCGACAAGTTTCTCGATTTTATTAACAAACATAATCGAGTAGTAGTCAATAATCGACATATATTGATGCCGTTATTCCAGCATTAATGATGAAAGGCACTTTCCGGCACTCACAAGCCTTTGTTCCGAACACGAAGTCAGGAAGTAGCAGTTTCCTACACGTTAATCGCTTTCGCGCGACTCTGCCGCGCGAATTGTGAAACAATGCCGTCGAAGTTGGAGATCTTCGACTAATCGGCGACGTTCAACTCTCGCACCGTGCGGCGCAATTTTGCGAAGATTAGCGAGCAATCAGCCCCTTTCACGACAGATCCCTTCGCCTCGGCCGTTCGATTCAGCCGTACCCGAAACTGTGCACTTTCTTCTCGAGAACATTCGATTTAATTACCGCGAGAAATGGTGCAAAGCTATATTCTCTGTTATACTCTCTCTCTCTCTCTCTCTCTCTCTCTCTCTCTCTCTCTCTCTCTCTCTCTCTCCCTTTCTCTCTCTGATCGCTAGTGAGCACAGTCTGTCCAGTTCCGGGGCAAAAACGGCTTATTTCTAGCCTTCTGCTGCTGCGTCACTTCCTGCCGGAGGTTAAAACGATTTTCGAGGACATGGACTAGCTACGATAGGGCAAAGATAACCGTAATTTCTGTGAAAAATGCTCTGTGCATCCCACTGTCACAAGAGAAATTTAGCGATGACCTCGATGGTACTTTCGTTATTCATGAACGAACGGAATTAATGTGTTAGATCATTTCCGCTAAAAGCTTCTTTGAATAATTATAACTGTCACAGAATGATACGTTATCGTAAGTAATTAAATTTCAACCAGTTCTTTTTATTACGCTCACTATATTCTTCTTTCATTGATTCTTTCATTCATTTTAATAATTTCATAAGAATAATTTTATATTAATATTTTTCACAAATAGAGATTAAATAATTATTAGCAATATTAATTATTTCTATATAAAATAATCTTTGTTTCGCGTTAGTCTTAAAACAATGAAATACTATTTAGTATTTCATTGTTTTAAGACTAACGCGAAACAAAGAAGATAATGAATGTTAATGAGTGCGCTATACATTTTCATGAAACATAATTAAATAAAAATGATAATAATAATTACTGGCAATTATGTTACAAGAATTTTAAACTTAGTTGATTTAATTTACTAGTATACGAGACCGCGTTTAGCGTTAAATAGTACCTGAGCAAAATGTCATTTACTGTACCTTCCTTAATTCTTCAGTTTCTTTTTAGTCTGAAATGATTAATGTTTTTCTTGCGTCTGCAGCGGGTTTATTAAAATTTAGCGACAATTAAAGTTCCACTTTTGTCGCGAATGGTATAATGAAATCCTTGATTCTTCTCACTCAAGCGCAGCTTCTCACGGACGCGCTACAAGGAAAGTAAAAGGACTAACCGCGTCTCATATGTCAGATTGGCTCCAATTTTACTTATTATGTGACCAACTAACAGTCCTGGCTTTTCAAAGGATGTTTCTTCAAAGAAAGTGACGATTCCTCGTGTAATAGTAACATCAATGGAAATGGAGCGGTCGTTCGTTCTCGTTTTTCTGCTTTCTAAAAACGTGACTTGATAAACGAAGTAATACATCGTGGAGAACGTGTGAGTCTATCCTTTGTCGTCATTTATCGTGTTTACCGGCATTTGTGCTAACCGGAACGTTCTTCGAACTTTTACGAGTTCGAATTAAATGGCTCGATATTTTCAATCGGCTTCGATCGTTTTGATATCGACATCCATTGTCATAAGAGCTCTCTTTGTACAATCTATTGCAATTTTTCATGGAGAGATCTTGACCTGCATTTATTGTTTCTATGACGAAGCTTGTTGCCTGCATGCTATTATTGATGTCGGATTATTGCTTATGCATTGATTTATACAGTGAATGCAAAAAGTATTCGTACAGAGAAAATATTTTTTAAAAAAACCTTATTTTTAAAAAGTAAATATACAATAATTTCAACACCAATTCGACATCGATTCGACGTTTAATTGACGTTCATTTCTTTTGTTAGGTAATTAACAATTTTATTCATAAAGAATAAAATAGACTGTATGTTTCTTAAAATTATATATACCAAAAAGATGTGTATTAATTATAGAAAATATATTATCTGAAAAATAAGCAAAAATTAAAAATTCTATTATTTAGATGCTCAAAAAGTATTCGTACAGTCGAGAAATTTAGCTCGTAGAATCAGGAATACATGCGAAACTCGTTTGTTTATGTTAGAATAGATATGTTCAATGTATAAAATTGCTAATTAATGTTTATTTTTTATTGTATAAATAGGACTTTTTTTTACAAAAAAATTCTTTGTACGAATACTTTTTGCGCTCACTGTATATCTATTATACAGTTGAAGTGCTCACTATATACAATGGGCTAACCTACATTTTGTAAAAATGTGTAGCTTTTATGTAGACTTAAATGTGAGTTAAAATTTACTATTGCAGTAAATCCTTCAATTATTATTACAATATTATAATATTATAAAGAAAGAAATGCAATTAAAATAATATGCAAGAAATTTTAAAAGATTAACAGTGTTCCGTTTCTTTTTGTAAAAAATAGTTAGCACGAGCTATTTGAAAGCATTTAATAATTAGCGTGATGCCAAGCGACGCGGTAGCGGCGCAACTCCAAGTACATAAGAAATTGATGTGAAAGTCACTGCGTAAACAAATGTCGCAACGCTACCAAGTTTATCCAGAATTCTTTCGTCAAAATTTATTTTAGTTAAAATATCCAAGAAATTAAAACCATAATAAAAAATCTAATGATAGTTTTATTACATATTTGAACGAGCTTTGCGACCAATTTCCGATTAAAATCGGTACAATCATTCCTGAGATCTCGAGATCTTTTAAAGATCATTTGCATTATTTTCCAAGTTTCAGATTCACATCGTATACACATACGTAAAGTCAGTTTGTCATTCAAGAGGCCTTCATAATGATTACATATAATATTACTAAAAAATTATGCAATGTAAGTGAATATTAACGTACAAATATACAGTCTAATATTTAAAGTTATATAATATATTAATATAATTATCGCCGTCCGACCTCGTTCGACGTTAACGACGACGACGCTGATCGACGTGGATCGATGCCGATCGACGCCGACAACGCCAATAGACGCCAATTGACGCCGACCGATGATGACGACGCCGACCGACGTCGACCAACTACGACACCAACAGACGATGACGACGCCGACCGACCACGACGACGCCGAACGACGACGACGACGATGCACAGACCGATGCACAGTGATAAAAAATCCCGAAAAGCTGGTCAAAACCTCAAAAATGAAAATTCTATTTGGGATATTTTAATCATTAGGTTGGCTAGGGGAAAGATGGGCCTGTTCAATAGTAAAAGGGAAATGGGCTTACCGGTTATACCTGCTTTTCTACAATAGTTCAAAGTTAAGGGGATCCTAAAGACGTCTGTATTACCGACTAAACACGTATAATTTTTGTATAACGAATACTCTTTTTCTCTTTCATGGATTCGAAAATCCTTTTCCAGAATTAAAGTATACGCATTAATACGTGTTTGTGAAGTGGAGTCTACGCTGAGAGTCTACGCTAAATCTAAATTAGATTTAGACGCTTCATCGCGACGAATTCGTTGTACGAAAATTGACACGTATGTGTGACTGCGTGTATCATAGCTGCGTGAGATATTACTGTGGTCAAAGACATACAGAATGGACTGCGCGATTCGTATCTAAGTAGTGTATCAAATGTGGTCGACAATAATGAGAGAGAGGGACCGTGGAAGACGGCCAATCTCCCTCTCATTCTCTCTTCCATTACACCATTGAATGGAAAGAGATAGAAATAGCCGTCTGCCACGGTCCCTCTCTCTCATCCCTATCGACCATTTTGACACACGATCGCGCAGTCCATTCTCTACGGCTGCGTTCCACTTAACGCTCGCAACGCTCGCAAGCATCGTTTATCCTTGTTGTTTATCAAATATTAAACAAGGACAAACGATGCTTGCGAGCGTTGCGAGCGTTAAGTGGAATGTAGCCAATGTCTTTGGTATAAAAAGTCATGTGATGTGCGGCGCGCGGCGCGACATCTAGTGATTTCGTCGGAGTTCGAGCTTTGCTGTAGGATCCCCTTAACCTTTGTGAGCAGTCAGTCGTGCACGTGTCGCGCAATAAAAGAGAGAAATAACACTCTTTTGTAAAGTATATATCTTTGGATAGGAGTGTTCGTTTTCTTTTATTGTGCGAAATGGAGGAGATTTCTAGAGGTAAGTACAATATTATATTGTACACAAATATTGTTTAATTAACGTTTGATATAAGAAAATACTATACAGACCAACAGTATTACACAGAAATAAGAGGTTTGTTCGCGTCGCATACTCCAACATGCTTCAACATGTTCCTACCATAGCTCCTCACTCTAACGAGCGCGTTTGAGTGAGTAGGAGCTACAGTTGGAGGAAATAGGAGTATGTTGGTGCATGGGAGTGCACCACATGGGTTTCGACTTTCCACGCGAAGCGACTTTCACCCCCCTCCCCCTCCTGCATAAGGAGCGCACGACTTCTATGATAATTATAAAGTTGTGCACCCCTTAAGTAGGGGAAGAAGTGGGGTGGAAGTTTTCGTTTCGCCTTTGTGATAGATTTCTTAACCTCAATAGTCAACTTTAACGCTTAATATCTCGGTTCGCGGGACAAAGCGACACTTTTTTTTTGCTAGATTCGTTCATTTCGTGCAAAAACGCGTCGAATGAACCTAATTTCATTAAAATCGGTAAGGAAGCCCGTTTCCTTGATAATTACTAAAAAAAGATTGCGAAAATCGAAAGATATATATCGATATATACTTAATGTTACTAAAATTGAGATTTTTTTTAGGAATTTCGGAATGCGTAAAAGAGTCACGAATCATAACTATTTGCTTTATAATGCTGCATATTTAATAATTCACGACTTTTATGTATTTCGCAATTTATTGAAAAACTGTTTTTCAATCTGATTCAGTACAATATAGGTACGTGGTTAAACGCGCTATTAAAATATGGTACCTCCTCCCCGCCGTGCCAAACTCGCTTATCGTGTTCCGCCGCCCCTGCATATATGTACAAAATTTTATAGACAAATATGATAATTAGTTTGTCCATATCATATTGTATCCGCCATTTTGTTTTCTGTAATTTTGATGCTGGATTTGTATTCAGTAACCGCGAAATTCTATGTATGTTAATTTTCATACGGATTAATTTTGAGGTTTTGGCCAGCTTTTCGGCTAAATTTTGATCACTGTGCGACACCGATGACGACGCCGACCGACATAGGATCTTATAAATATTAATATTTTTCGAAACAATGTGGGTAAAATTTCGGAGACTGTAAAGTGTTGATAAGCGTCACTCAGATGCGTATCAACACATTACGGTCCCCGAAATCTTATTCATACTGAATTTGCATATCTTAATTCGTGACTGCACGCACTTTTGGATGCATTAAACATTTATTAGATGTAATTGTTGGATAATTGCGTTGGTAATATATCCATTTTTCACAAATAATTTGTGAATAGATTTTTATAAAGTTTTTGAAGTCTTTTTCTTATATATATATATATATATTGTCCATTGCTTATTGAATTCTCTTTAACCTCTATTTATCAGATTTCCAAACATGAAGTGATTATACGGTTTACTCTTAATATTTTATTTTTACGCTTATTAATCATTTATACAAGATGTTGCTTTTAACCATGAAGACGGTTTCTTATTTATATGCTTCAATTTGTACTTTGATTAAATTACATTTAACTAATTTCACTGTTTTTCAATGTATTATATTTTCAATTTAATATTTTACTTAATATTCTATTTATGTATAAATCAGGAAAAAATAAAAAAGTGTTCATGTATAGAATAAACGTTCCAAATAACATATGGAATATCACTAACGTTAAAATATATCAATTTAGCAATAAAATACACTAAAAGATGATGACTGACTTCTGCAAAGATTTTAGTCCTCTTATCAAAGCGTAAAATTTAGTATACACTAAAACCAATACATGAATCTCTGATAACACTGTATTTAAACTGTTAATGATATTTCGACTGCAATAGACATTGTTATAACAATATATTCCCCTATTATTTTGCAAAAAGTGTTTTAAGCCATTTAATTGGATAAAATAATTACGTTAACGGCAACCTTCTGTGACACAATGTTCTTGATAAAAAAATTTATAAAAATAGTAAAAAGGTATGTTTTTTAACGGTTTTAGGTGAATAAACTTAAAAGTAAACATGTACAAAAAAAATTTAGATCGTGAGAACTATGAAAAGAGTTTAGGGAATATTAGAATAAAATTAATTGAGTAGTACTTCTAAAGAATTTTGTGTGTTGGAATTGAAAAAAATAGAATTTAAATCTAATCAACGACGGATTCCACGTGAACCAACGCATAGTGACACAAGAGAATATATACATCAACAGTACAATAAGATTTATATAGTTCATGATTAATATTTTTAATGTTTTTGATAACTTTTTATTATATCAACAGTTATCTGTTTCATGTTACCATTTTCATATTTGTTTTATAGCAATAATTTTCCTTAATATTAAAGAAGAGTCTTGTACCTCCTCGGAAGCTTTAAGACAAAGTAATAGAGACGTACATACTGAAGATAAACTTCACAGAAACGAAATGTTTAGTAAGACATTTAACCGAAAAAGTGTTTTGCATAAGCATGAAAGAGCTCATACAGGTGAAAAACTATATCAATGCGAGGTTTGTCATAAATCATTTAGGTGAGTACTTGAGTAACAAAAATTAGAAGAATTATTTGATATTACAGCCTCTATGCTTAATTAAATTGGTAACAAATGTTTAATATTGTTACGGTTATTTTTTAGTCGAAAACCGATTCTAGACAGGCACAAGAGGATAGCACATTACAATGAAACACTTTACAAGTGTGCCCAATGTGGGAACTGTTATGCAACAAAACAAAATTTGGATCATCATATAAACAGGAAGCACAACGGTGAAAGACCGTATAAATGTGATAAATGTCCAGCTACATTTGCCCATCGTGGGACCCGTATATATCATACATACAGAACACATTTAGGCGGGAAACCATATCTTTGCGAGGTATGGGCTTTCAAATTATTGTTAGTGATTTTTTCAATTATTTCTCATTTGATTGTTTTCCTCATTTTTATGTTTTTGTACATATAAATATGCTGCATTTTAGGTTTGCGGCAGAACCTTCGCTACCAAAGATAACATACACGTACACAAATTTGTACATAGCGATAAAAAGCAGTATGAATGTATGATGTGTGACAAGAGCTTCTCGCAAAAAAAAATATGCTATTGCACATATGAAAGCTCAGGTTAGTCACGAGAAAATGTTTAAATCCATTAGCAAATTCTCATTTGTCTTCCTATTTGTGTTGTACATTGGCTTGGAGGAAAAGTTCTGCGGTATTTTGTTAGCTAAAAATTATATATACAATATCTTCGTTAAAAATGATCAAAATTTAAATTTGAAAAATAGTTTTAAAGCCTAAAATCTCTACTTTCGAACGGTTACTATATTTTGTCAATTTATGTAAATTTTGTAATTTTTATATATAGAAAGCAAAATGAGCTGAAAGAAAGGGAAATTTTTCTTCTCACTTTGTGGATCTATCACGTGCCAAGAAAAATTGCGAAAATTTTCGATCATCTATATCGTGAAAGTTTGGAATTTTTCTTACAAAATCGTTTTTTAAAAATGTTTTTATTAGTAAAAAGGAGCATTCTGACTTTGATCGCTCATAACTCCATTAAAAATCATCGTACCGCAATTAATAAAACAGATTCTGAAAGCTGGAACGTTGCTCCATCAGGTGGTGTAATTGTCAAATTAAAAAAAAATATAATATATATATATAT